TCACGGTCTCTCCTGCCCGGGCTGGCTTTGAACCACGATCCTCAGATCTCAGCCTCCTGAGTAGCTAGGATTACAGGCGTGAGCCACCAGTGCCCGGCTTCCTCATACTCTTCTTGCTTGGCTTTTTCACTCAAAGCTGGCACTCTATCACTTGAGCCACACCTCTTCTTCCAGCTTTTTTGGTGGTTCATTGGAGATAAAAATCTCAGGGACTTTCTTGCCTGGGCTGGCTTCAAATCGTGATCCTCAGATCTCAGCCTTGCAAGTAGCTAGGATTACAAGAGTGAGTCACCAGGGCTTGGCTGGCTTTATGATTCTTAATCGTGATTTGGAACCTTTTTCCCTTTGACCCTTGCAAATTTAGGGTCTGGCCTAACCCATGTTGAGTACTGTTCTAAGCCCACGGCTGCCTCAGTCTGTTGCATCTCTGACCATGTGTGGCTTCAGAGCCTCTGTCTGGTGAAGAATGGTGGAGTCTTAGTCTTCTCTTTCTCCAGTAACATTTGGACGAGCTTATAGCAGGTCTGTGGGTCCCACACAGCCTGAAGGACCCTCAGTGAGCTACCAGAAAAAGCAAAGCAATGGCTGGCTGTGTGCCCATCCCACCATCCATCCACTCACAAATGCTCACCAGAACCTGCTTTTGGCTACAACACTGCCACACTGCCCTAAAAGTCACTGCAGAGAACATAGGAGCCTGTCCTTTTTCTGGAAGACCCTTTTCCATTAAGTAACCTTACCTCTCACCATCTGCTATTGCAGGAGGCCTCTGATAGGCCAATCCACCTTGACACTCCAAAGTAGGCCATGTGATTGGTTAAGCAGTAGCCATATTATTCTCTCAGAGCCAATAAAAGCCTTCCACTGGAATGCTCCAAAATAAACCAGGCAATTGGTTTGGTAACAGCCATGTGACTCCAGTAGAGCTAATCAAAGAATTTAGACCCAAAGGGGAGGGGCTTGGATATTGCTCAGTGGTGGAGTACATTGCTTAGCAGGCTTGTTTCCATCCCCTGAACCAGAATGTTTAAAAGCCTGAGTGACCAAATCAGGGGTAGATCATGTTCTAGTTTGAAGGCTTGGTCTCCGGCAGGTGGGACTATGAAAGTTGACGTGTAGACGCTGACCATATTCCTAGATTAATCCACTCATGAGTTCACAGCTCAATGGACAGCTAGGAGGTGGGGCCTGATTAGAGTAGGTCACAGGGGGTGGGCCCTGGAGGGCTAGGTAGATCTTATCAACAGGCACTTCCTGCTTCTGACTCTCTCTTTCTGCTTCCTGGCTGCCATGAAGTGTGCAACTCTGTTGCTTCATACCTTGCTGCCATGATGTGCTGTTCTGTCCCAGCTCAAGCCTACAGCAATGGAGCCAGCCTACCATAGACTGACTGGGAGTCAAACAAATTCTTCCTCTTTGAGTTATTTTTCTCAGATACTTTATCACAGTGAGTAACACAGGCCAGGGAGAGACTGGGTCTCAGAAGTGTCTGGAACCAATGACAAGAGCACCCACAAGTGGCTGTTCAGACAAGAACAGACAAGTGGTTCACAAATACTTCATCTCCCACGCTTTCTCTCTCTTCCGACTCCCTCCCTCTCTTTCTCCCTCCCTTCCTCTCTCTCTCTCTCTTCCTTTCTCTCTCTCTCTTTCTCTTTCTTCAACACACACACACACTTCCAACATACAAAATCCCAAGGAAGAATTCTGATTGGTCCAGCTCAGGTCACATGGACCATGCAATGAGGTAGGCAGGGTAGAGAATGACAAATCAGGGTGAGAGAGGGGACTTTTTCCAAGAAGTACTTGTCTTGGGTGGGGTGGGGATACTGACTTTCACAGCTATTAACAGCTGCATTACAGCATCTGGAATATTCTTCAGAGGGGGCAGAGAGCCTGCAGATCAGGGAAAAGAGATCCAAAGACTGAAGGGGAAACAGTTGAGTCTATTCTGGTCCCTTTGATCCTTATCAGTATTGTCAACTCCATGACAACGGGAGATGAGGTCTTTGAAGCCAAGAATGATTTTTTGAAACAACAAAGTTTCTATTTTTATCTCAAGCGCTTGTTTTCTGAGGATTGTGGACTGTGCCCTGGAAGGGTCTCCCCAAGGGTTGATGGTGCCCTCCAGGGTGAGCCGCAGCTTCAGACACCATGGGCCCTCTGTGGGGGTGCTGGATAGGCTACCCCTTGAATCCTTCTGTGGGGAACTGCTTGTCCAGCTCTTGCCATCTTTGCTTACTCCTCCTCTTCCGACTCCTTTGTTTCTGCAAGGACGTGTACAAGCAAATCTGAGCTCTGGGAAAAAGGTACATGTTTATGATCCCAGCTACCTGGGAAGCTAGATTAGGAGGATCATAGTAGGAGGCCAATTTGGGTAAAATGTGACACTCTAGCTGAAAGAAAAACTAAAATCAAGTGGATGAGCACTTGCTAGGTAAGTCCTGAGTTCAAATCCTAGTATTACTGTCAAAAATTAAGTAAAAGAAGAAGCAAAAACTGCAAACAGGGTATGATATGGGCTCTGTGTGCTGGGATCTGTGGTACTAGGTTTTTCTTATTCTGTTTTTTTTTTTTTTTTTTTTTTGCCAGTCTTGGGGCTTGAACTCAGGGCTTCGGAGCTGTCCATGAGCTTTGGTGCTCAAGGCTAGAGCTCTACCACTTGAGCCACAGCTCCACTTCTGGGTTTTGTGGTTAATTGGAGATAAGAGTCTCACAGACTTTCCTGCCTGGGCTGGCTTTGAACCACAATCCTCTGATCTCGACTTCCTGAGTAGCTAGGACTACAGATGTGAGCCACTGGCACCCTGCTGTCTGTGGTACTAGGTGATATGACAGGTTCCAGCAGTCCGTGTCCCAGGGAGAGTCCAACAGTTCCTCTGTGGATTGGTTGGTTTGCAAAAACCACTAATTGAATTTTCTTTTTCTTTTCTTTTCTTTTTTTGTTGGTCGTGGGGCCTGAACTCTGGGTCTGGGCGCTGTCCCTCAGCTCTTCAGCTCAAGGCTAGCACTCTGCCACTTGAGCCACAGCACAACTTCCAGCTTTTTCTGCTTATGTGGTACTGAGGAATTGAACCCAGGGCCTCATGCATGCAAGGCAAACACTCTACCACTGAGCCACCTTCCCAGCCCACTAATTGAATTTTCAAAAAAGAACTGAACCATGTAAAGTGAGGTAATCCAAACTCGGAGAGACAAATGATGCATGTTTTCGCTCATATGCAGAAGCTAGATCTAATGTACATGGGGGGCGTGGTTAATTATATAGAACTCCAGGCAGTCACACACAGTGAGACCGAAGGAGCACAGTCTTAGGAGAAGAACACAAAGGTGCAATGCCTATGTGCCTTTTTTTTTGGTCAGTGGTGGGGCTTGAACTCTGGACCTGAGCGCTTAAGGCAAGTGCTCTACCACTTGAGCCACAGCACCACTTCCACTTTTCTGGGTGGTTTATTGGAGATAAAAGTCTCCTAGACTTTCCTGCCCGGGCTGGCTTTGAACTGTGATCCTCAGATCTCAGCCTCCTGAGTAGCTAGGATTACAGCCGTGAGCCACCGGTGACTGGCTTTCTTTTGTGCCTTTAACCATATAAAATATTTATCCAAACAAACCACAGGAAATGGAAACAAGAGGCTTTTCCTTTGTTACTGTTTTTCTTTTCTCTTCTTTCCTTTTCTCTTTGTCTTGTTTATCTGTCTTTGGGAGGGTAAGGGGGCGCAGAAATGGAGGGACAAAGAATGAACAAGTGCAGTAGTGGTATTCACTAGCCATTATGTTGAAAATGAACTATACGAGCCGGGCGCTGGTGGCTCACGCCTGTAATCCTAGCTACTCAGGAGGCTGAGATCTGAGGATCGTGGTTCAAAGCCAGCCCGGGCAGGAGAGACCATGAGACTCCTATCTCCAATAAACGACCAGAAAACCGGAAGTGGCGCTGTAGCTCAAGTGGTAGAGCGCTCGCCTTGAG